GCAAGGCTGGGAACACTCATCTTCATTGTTGTTGGAGGTTAATTTCAGTGAAGTTTGAAATGTGTCATGTTATACTGGAAAGGTCTCTGAACCTCTTTATTCTTAAAGAAAACTTGTTCTCTGGTCTGAAGTACTTGATGCTAAGGTTGTTCAGAGATCTTGTTTGAGAAGTGGCTTTTCCCTCTTCATGTGTGAATTCAAAGCCAAAATATTTTTTCTTATTTTTTTAATTATGAAATAAAAAAGAGTTTTAATAGTGATCTATAAACATTCAGATTTTGCTGTATAAAATCACTAAGAGGACTGCAGATCTCCAAATGCTAAGCATCAGCCTAAATCCAGAGAAGCTGTAGATGCACTTTTAATTTTTTTGCCCAGGTTTTTACTAGTTCTGGACATGATGGAGGAATGTCCAGACTCGAGATTAGCTGAGTGTTTTTCACTCTAATTGTTTAAAAAGCTGAGCTGCAGTGCTGTGATCACCCGCTGTGGTTATTGCCATGTTACCTCAGATGGCTTTATCTTAATGCACTCTCATTACTAGACCATCTAGACTTCCACCAGTAGCAACAGATACATTCAGCCACTGTATCCATTTAAACATGCAGTAGTATTTGCTTGTATTAATCTCTAAAGAACAGGTCTAACTGAAATGCACATGTATGCTGGTATGAAGTGGCCAGTGACCTGTGAATTTATTGAACAAGGTTTGCAGCTAAATCCACGTCCATGCCATGACTTCAGACATAAGGAGCAGCCAGGATTTACTGAAAGAGGTGAGAAGGAACCATGCAAAGCATGAAGCATTGACTTGGAAATTGATCTGCGATTTTGTAATTATTTAATCATAAATTACAATCATTTCATTGTTCCTGGTTTAATAATACAACAAGAGTAAACACAGTTAATGCCAAGTGGAAAGTCAGCTTTCCACACATCACAAAGCATTCCCATGTCACATGTTCAAGAGGATATGGCACAAGTAATTTTAGTCTGTCTTTTCTGAACTTACAGTATATGTTTGATGATTTTGTAGAAATAATTCTGAAACTGGTAATTATTTGATGTTAAGGAGAAGAGAAAATACTTAAAAGACTAATGTCATGGTCCTCAGAATGCCCTGCTAGTACTGCAGGGCCCTTCAGACATGCAGAGTCACAGACAACTTATCTCTTTCCCCAAGGCTAAAAGAAAACTCTTGGGAACCATTTATATTTCTGATAATAATTCTTCTCAATTAGTCTGTTAGGACTGATAAGGATTTCTTTTCTATGAAAACTCTAGAATGAGGAGAAGCTATTCCACAATATTCATTGCAGTCCAAGGGTTCTCTAGGAATGTCATGGTCCAGGCTGCTGAAGCCCTTTGCCCTGCTTGCTCCTCTAAACTTCTCCTCCTCCTTGTCACCAAAGAAGAGCTTAGCAGTACAAAAAGTGACAGTGAACATGAGGCAGTACAGTTCAATTTCAAGATTTGCAAAGGCATTTTCATGAGGCTGTCAGCAACCCAAGCCCTCTTTCCAGCATGAAAGATGCTTTTGAGTAACAAGATCTATTCCATTTCTTGCAGCCTCCTATTTTCTCAGATTAGTGGTTAGGTCAGGAAATCCTATATGCACAGCTAGTAGTTATTTAGGCACTAGAAAATTATCCCTGATGGGCATAAGTTAATAGTGTATTTTGACTAATGGTTCAGAACCATCCTCTGTATAAGAGATTTCATTTCATCCAATTTGCCTGACAATTTTGGTGCATCTGTTTCTCAAATTCCTTATTTATTTTCTTCATATCTTTACAGTGAAGCTGTAAAAGCATTTGCCAGCCTTCTTCAGATTCCTTCATGTTATACTTATTCCAGGCACTTTAGTTTAACAGAGATCCAGTTCCTTCTTTGCAGCGTATCCCACAGACAAGAAAGAAGAAAATGTTGTTTTGTCAAATTTAATGCAGTGAGGAAGTTTTAATGTAAGAAAAAAACCCATAGCTAAACATACAACACTGAACTCTTTAAAGAGCTACTTCTGTAAATCTAGCAGAGAACAAGTTCCACAGTGCTACAGAGCAGAACAGAAATTACGTAATTCCCACACAACACAGAGATGACCTAGGTAATAAGGAAGAACATAAAAAGAGTAAGTTTCACAAAGTACAAAATACAAACTGCCAAACTATATGCCTTTAAGAAAGGGGTTTCGATTCTCCTAGGTCCACTGTCAGCACAGAGACATTTCTTATCTGGACATGATTTTATTTCATTCATTTTAAATTATAAGAACCACTTTCCTTTGTAATAATTGCTAGTGGAAGAGATGATGAATTTCTGTCTCTGTCTCTAAGTCCACTTTGTCCCACAGCTTAGTGAAAACAGCAACTTCTTCATAGGAAAAAGAGAATTTTTCTTATTACGGTTTAAGATCCACTTTTCAATTTTCAGATGTTTCCAGCTGCCGTGCCTTGCTGCAATTCCACCAGGTACTAAAGAATTCAGAATCAGATGCATAGCAACAACTCCATTATCTACAGCGTTTAAACCAGAGGACAAAAAGTCACATGACAGAAAGTTTGAGATTGGCACACCACATTATCATATGTGCGGTGTTCACATGTCAAGGCTTCTTAGAATGCCATGGCCCAATGAACATACTGTAATCACACAAAGTAACTTTCAGTATTTTTATGCCTTAGGACATGAGAGAGATCTCATGTATGTCTGCAGACTATATTGTACAGAGTCAACGTGACTGACAGATCTTTAGTAAAAGCAACTCATCTTCATACTTTCCAATCCCTGTGCAATGACACAGCAACGTGAAGTAAGGTCTCAGAAAGAACTCCAGCTGCAAATAACCCTGAAATTTTGGGGAATTCACATCAAACCTTACCTTTGCAAGAACTTTTTTTTTTCTGTTAAAGTGAATCAAAGCCCCAGCTCTGAGCACTACCTTCTGGTACAGTTCAGGTCCAGACCTGTATCTCAAATTGTATCTCAGAATTGTTTACATGTTACTTTGGCTTTTCATCATCATAAGCCTTTTGTAAAGGTCAGGAATTCTAATCTGCCAGGGTTTGATCCTTTTTTTTTTTGATCCTTTTATTTAAAGTCTCTGTTTCTGCTGAGAATCTTAAAGTTTACATCTCTGTATTGCATATTTAATATAAGTGAATTATAGCTATATATGTATACATTTTTGTACTGCTTGGAAAAACAAGCATATCTTGGGACTAGAGAATAAGGCTCCTCAGATGAAATAATCTCACTGGTGTCAGTGAGATCAAAGAAAAATAAAGTACTAGTTAGCATAAGCAAGAAAGGTAAGAACTGATTTTAACTAGTTTCAATGTTAGGAAAATTGATGGCCAAACACTGCAAAATCAAGAAGTCCTAGGATATTAATACATTCAGAAAGTGAGGAGTAAAACATAATACTCAAAACATTAAATTTAGGACTACTGACAAATTCTCAGAAGCATTAAATGTAGCAAATATGAACATCATGTGGTAATAAATTGGTATGTTTTCTCCTCTAAAGCTTTTAATCCTCTCTGCGACCTTCAACAAGGTTGACTACTTCTCTGAATGTATCCCCACCATGTTTTAGGCTAGTTAGTATCTGCAGTTTGCAGTTAAGCTTAATAATAATGATAATAATGATTTTAATAATAATATAAATCAGGAAAATAATTATGTTAATTTAGTTGAATGAATGACAACTCAACTGAGGGGCTATGCACTTGTGTTCACAATCCTATTCCCCCCATATTATTTTAAAAGGGCACTACCAATATCAAAGTTGAATAATTTTATGAATGTCTACTAGTTTTTTCAACAGTAAACTCTACAGGGGAAGCATCTGGGCTTTAGGTATCTTTTTCTTCTTGTGTGGTTCGTGCAGTATTTCTTAGTCCTTCTCAGTCTCCTCTAGATGTTCCATGAGATTCTGGTTCCCTATATTCCCCAAACATAACTTGCACATAACTTGGCCACAGACTTGCCAAAGTCTGCCATAAGTATTTTATGATTACATTTCCAAAAGTGTTATCTAAATCTGCCTTTCTCCATTTTCAGACTGAATTTTGGAACCACTAATAATGCATGATCCCAGTTAAAGTTAATGCAGGACTAAAATCAGTGAAGTCAATAGTTGGTTGGTATCCTTAAACTCACAAGCCTTTGAAGTACAGATTCTGAAAAGTGAAAGGTATAAAATCAATAGAGACTTAGAAAGAAAAAAAAATCTGCTTTATCCCCTGTCCTTTTCAGGAATTGTCATTCCTATTCTTACATGTTGTACCTTAAGAGTGATGCTGAGAAATAACACGTTGTCACTCATTATTATAAAATGGTTTTTTTATGATTTCTCATCTGTGATGGAACTGCTACAATCAGATGGAAAACAAACTCATTTTGGTATTTTTGTATCTGTGATTCTTGAAACTGAAATTTGGGGTGATTTCAAGCTGGGTATGTTAAATTGCTGTAATTTAAGGTAAAGGAATGATAGGTTCAGACTACGCAGGCTATAAAATTATTTTCTGTGTAGTTTAGGAAAAGAACCTTTGACATGTCCGCCCGCCAGGAACCCTTTTAACTACATATCCCGTGAAGGTCCTCATGTGCTCTACATGCTTTTTCACATACTTCAAGTACAAGCGCAGTACTATCTAAAATTTGCTGGCTTAAGCACAAAGAAGAGACTATGAAATGTTGTTTCCTTAAATCATGATTGAATCTTATACGCAATCGTTCTTTGGGAGGGAATATGAGACTAGTGAAGGGAACTAAGGGAGCAAGTTTTACGCTGTTAAAACGGAAAGAAAAACAGAGTTGCTATTCCGCAGAAGTTTATTATGTTGTGGGTTTCTTTTTGTTTTGCTTTTGCTTTTGTTTTGATTTGGTTTGATTTTTTTCGCCAGGGTTCTCATTACTCCCGCAGGACCTTTCCCGGTCCCGCCTCCGCTGGGGACGCTGAGGCGCCTCCCGGCGGGCCGCGCGCGGGGCGGCCATGTTGTGTCGCCATGTTCCACAGCAGCACCCAGTGCCGGCACTGGACCTTCCGCAGCGAGGAGGAGCTGTCCCGGCGCCGGGCCGAGGCGAACCGCCGGGCACGGGGCAGGGCCGCGGCCAGCGGGAAGGTGCGCGGGGCCCGCGGGGCGGGCGGGGAAGGCGGGCGCAGGGCGGAGGAGCGGGGCCGCGGGGCGGGAGCTGGGCGGGCGGGGCAGCCCGAGTGAGGCGCCGCTCTGCCTCTCCGCAGGTGCCACAGGGCGAGGCGGTGCTCCTGGAGCTGCACGAAGAACTGGCGATATGCAAATACTACGAGAAGCGGCTGTTGGATTTCTGCGCCGTGTTCAAGCCGGCGATGCCGCGGTCCGTGGTGGTGAGTGAGCGGCGCTGGGACCGGTCTGCCCCGGCCGCCTCTGTCCTTCGCCTCCTGCTGCTTGCGTGGCTCGTTCTGGAGACCGCGGATGTGTTTAGAGCTAATTTCCCTCTTCCAGCATTGCAGTCTGTGCCCGCTTCTTATATTTTTTGTTCGTTTCTGAGCATGCAGCCATTTCAAAAACAGTTGTTTCTTAACGTGATCTTCTGCTTGTGGCTCCTACACTTGCATGAGTGACTGGATGCTTTGTTTGACTGAACTGTTGTGGTTTGTACCCTTTAGCAAAAGGGTAGAAGCAAAGTAATGGTAGGTGGTCGATGGTAACGATTGATTTTACAATAAAACGACGATGATACCATAAAGCAGTCCCCCAGTAGCTAAAGAAGCTGTCCTGCATTCTCTCAAGCACTTGTTTCTCAAGCACTACTGCTTGTCTGACCTCAGAATAAGCTGGATCAGCGTTTGTACTGGCAGTTAACTGACCTACAGAGGAAAAAGAAAATTACGTTGAACTGACTGGCCTTGAACGCAGACGAGTGTTTCAGAAAGGAGAGCGTGGGGACCTACAGCTGAAGCTGAGTCATTAAGATGAATGGCTTGTATTGTGCCCTGTCAGTCCTCCCTTCTTCTGGCAGGTGTGGTGAAGAGTGCCCCACCTGACGATGCCTTTGAAAGGTGGCAGTAGCTGCCATGGCACATTCTGTGAAGCCAGACTTATATTTGAGAAGTGGCCCCTGTGGTGTGCAGTGTGTTGGGATTGCTTGCAACTTTTTTTTTAGTCTTTGGTTTTTAAATTTCATTTGAATACGAGATTTTTCTCATGAAGATTCTGTAGGGTTTTTTGAGCATTGTCTTGCAAAATATGTCTAAAAAAAGTCAGGTTTAAGGTGTCATATTGCAAGCATAAATGAAATATTTAAAGACATGGCTTTGTGTGCGTCGTAGTGCCTTAGTGTATCCTGCATGCCTGTAGTATATATTCAGACTTGCCAGATCTGTGATTTTTTTCTAATGTATTTATTTTTTCTTTATCCATTTTTATTTCTTCCCACTTTTTTCAATTTAGGGAACAGCTTGCATGTATTTCAAACGCTTTTACCTCAACAACTCAGTGATGGAGTATCATCCTCGGATAATAATGTGAGTTATCAGCACTTCCTGAGTTATTCTGTCAAGTGGAACATTAGAGGTATAATCTTTTATATTTGTAAAGACCTGAAAAAAAAGTGAGAAAGGAAATCTGAGAGCTTAAATAGGCGTAAAGGTAAAATATGTCTGTTTCACTTTCCATTTGGAAAAATTTGGTGTCTTCAGAGCATGGTGTTTTGAAGATACAGATTTTCTGAACAGAACTCTTGATAAAAGAATTGATGCTGCATAAATGAGTTGTTTGCTTTTTTGTTTTTTTTTTTTCCCTCCTCAAGGCTAACCTGTGCATTTTTGGCCTGTAAAGTAGATGAATTTAATGTATCCAGTGCACAGTTTGTTGGTAACCTTCGAGAAAGCCCTCTTGGACAGGAAAAAGCTCTTGAACAAATACTGGAATATGAGCTGCTGCTTATTCAGCAACTGAACTTCCATCTCATTGTGCACAATCCATACCGACCTTTTGAGGGATTTCTAATTGATTTGAAGGTAATAGAAAACTGTTTGATACGCTACATGCTCTGTGTAGTAAAGTAATAAAGTCTGTCATGTGTTGTGTTAGAAAACTTTATTTCCTTTTGTGCCTGTGATCTTAAAAGATGTAATTACTAAAGTGGTTACAGATACTTTAAAAATGGTTATTTATGGTCTTTAAGCTTTTTAGGCTATTTTTTGGAAAAGAGGGAGGCTTGCTACTTTTTAGCTTTGTGAAGTATTGATGTTTTGTGTGTTCTGAGCTCCCAAACAAGGAGGAGCAGCCACTTACTTTCCTAAATATTTACTTTTTAGACTCGATACCCGATGCTGGAAAATCCTGAAGTTTTGAGGAAAACAGCTGATGACTTCCTCAGTCGAGTGGCTCTGACAGATGCATATCTGCTCTTTACTCCCTCACAGATAGCTCTCACTGCCATATTATCTAGTGGTTCAAGAGCAGGAATTAATATGGAAAGGTAGTGTTTTCTTTTTATAGGTATGATTTAAACAGTTTATTTGGTTCCTGTATAAAATTTTGCTCCAGACATTCTTAACTAGTACAGTTGTGTATTTATTGATTGTTAATGCTGGTATGTTCTTTAGCTGTGTTTCGGGATTGTAGTGGTACTATTGGTTTCACTTTCAAAAAGTAGCTGATAAATGCAGTTAGTTGGTGTCTGGTTTTTACATGCCTTGGGAAGAAGGAAAAAAAAGAAACCTGACGACTTTGCCTCAGAACAGCATAGGATTTTCAGACTCATCTTAATGATTATGGTGAAGAAAGTGGAAATACAGTAGAAATTGAGAGTTTCTTAAGAATCACTTAAAGAAAAAAATGAGATTTTTAAGGTTTCAGAGTCAACTGAAATGACACTGAAGTGACAGCTATTAGGCATGCTGAAACTAAGTGCTATATTTGGCTGGTACAACTGTTCATTTTCCATGGAAACAGACTAATGCTAAGGTGCTGTTTTAAATCAGTCCCCGCTTTCCTTTCTGTGACCTAGCCACTTGGTGTTTGCACAGGCATTATTATCAAACACTCTGGTACCTTTGCTGAAATGTGTAGTTTGTTTGGTTTGGTTCTCATAAAAACAGAATATATGCCTTCCTTAAGAAAAACAGCTGAGATAGTTCCTGTAAGGAATTGTACCTGGCCTGTTATAATCACATGCCTGTGGGCATTTTGCATCCGGAGTGTTAACGCCTGCAGGCACAGGGGTTGATGCGAAATGCAAAGAGTTCTTTTTAAATAAATTAGATATTTTTAAATAAACCTCCTCTAAAGGAATCTGAGATCTCTCTCGTTCAAAAAGAAAGAGCGTTCTCTACAGGGTTCACTGTCCTTTGAAAATTGCATAAAAATATTCAGGTGCTTACTTTAACTTGAAACTTGATTTCATTCCTAGATCTGTATTCTGTACTGCTTGTCCAAAAATTCAGAAGAGCTCGTTTGCAAAAAGTACTAAAATAATTTGTAGATAACATAGGAAATGAGGTAACTTCGTTTGCATGTTCAGGAAGAACTCAAGTCTTTGTGACCTGTCTGCACCATGCAGTTGTTATAACCTGCTCATTTATTATTTTACTTGAGTTTTTGCTGCTGGACATGAGAGAAGCGAATGCTGGGTCTCTGGACCTGGGAGCAGGTGCCCCTGCAGAAGCGGGGCAGAACATTGGAGGGGTTTGAAAACCTGTCGTTCCCATGATGGAAGGGATAAAACTACTTGGTTGTTGTGGGTCTTGGTGAGGAGTGTTGCTCATGTCTGTTGGGGTTTTACCCAGGCACTGTGCATATATTAGTGTTCTTACTAAAAGGAAGTTTGAATCTCAGTGGGAAGAAGGGACCCACAGCCTCTTACAAGACAGCATTTAGGAATGGCTTTTAGCTGCCAAAAAAAGGAGGCCTGTCTTGCAAGCTCTGTTGTCTGTTGGTCAGTCTGAAAAACACTCTTCTGTAGTTTTGGCTTGTCCCATAGTCATACTGTGCAAGAGTGTGATGTGTTCATAGAACCTTAAACCTAATTTAGCTCTGTGGGGCTTACTTAGAAATGTTGAATTCTGCCCTGTTGGAACTTCAGGTTTTCACGTGGCTGGGGAATACTTTTGTCAAGTTCTTACAGTGATAGATTTGCTTTTTTATCACTTTAAAGCATTTACATAACCAAAGGGTTCTTACTTAGTCTAATCATAAAGCTCTAGCAGATGTAAATAATAAATAACACACTTACTGCCACAAATAATAATGACACTTCAAAAATTTATTCTTCCATGTCTCTTTGCAGCTATTTATCAGAAAGTCTTATGCTGAAAGAAAACAGATCAATCTTATCCAGACTACTAGATGACATGAAATGTAAGTAAACATTGGAAAAATATGATAAAGAGTATCTCTAAAGAACTAAAACTCATGTTTTTCCAAATGACTTTAAGCAGAAGGGTGTGCTTGCAGTGGTTTTCTTCGCCTCAGGGCATGCATAAGGTAAATAAAACATGGGCAGTGTGGATGGACCATGTGGATAGAAGGGAAGAAAACACTGAAACACAATGAACAAATTAAACAAATGTAAATTAACAAATTATTAAATAAATTAAAAGGGAATTGGTCTGCCTGATGCCTTCAGACTAGCAACTGACTTAAAAGTGAGAAATCTATTTTGGGAACTAGATAATGGTTTTTGTAAGACAGGATTAAATGACTTTTCAAGTCACTGTGTTTTAAAAATTGCAGCTTCAGGCAAAGCCTGCACATTACTACTACTACCACCACCACAGAATATCTTTTGTAAGCTGAATGATTGATGTGAAGTGATATGCCAGGATTTCTACTGCACTTCTGGTTTGCAGCTATGAACATATCTCAAAAGACGCTTAGCTTCACTAGTGTGAGAAGTATATATGTGTGTGTATTGTACAAATACCAAGAATACTAACATGGTTTAGCTAATAAGTAATAATCAGTGGACTATATTCCCTTTTTTAATTAAGTGAAAAGGCTGGAATATGAAATTCTCAGTAAGTGATCAGTTATTTGATGCTTTAGGCTAATGCATGCATTTAAAATGAGAGCGGTAGCATTGAAGCTTCAGTCTTTGGCAAGGCTGACTTGAGTAGTGAATGCGCCATACAAATCACCAGGGTCTACATAATCAATTTAAATTGAATTTACAGAACTTAAGGTGCTCCTCCCTTTCTCTTCTTCTAACAAATCCAGTCTTCAGGTTTCCATTGCTGAGATCAAAAGGGACGCTTGGATCACTTATTCTTTGCTTCCATTATCCTGGAAAGGAGTTTTGGCCCAAAGGCAGCTCTTCTGTAAACATATGATGGTTGGAAGGAAATTTGTGAAGCATTTGTAAATGACTTTTACAAAGCTGATCACAGAGAAAAAAATCTTGTTTCTTGAAAGGTAGCTGTAAATGTAATTTGCATTGTTAACAAGACTGAAACCAGTCTTTTTTTAAGACAGAGGTACAATGCTGAATGCAAAACACTCCTGTGTATTTTGAAGCTTGTTAGCACAGTAACATGAACTCTACATTATTAGAGTTTACCTTGAGGAAATCCAGAGTGTAGTGATGCTAATGGCTTGCTTCAGTGGAGTTATGATGAGGGAAGGAAGGATAAAGTGTTGGCTCAAGCCTGGCTATGAGGGATAAGCAATAGCAGCAGCCATGCTGCTGATAAGCTTGTCATGGACTGACCCCAGCTGGACACCAGGTACCCACCAAAGCCACTCCATCAGTGACCTCTATAGCTGGACAAGGGAGAAAAAAGATAATAAAAAGCTTGGGAGGTAAGATAAGGGCAGGGAGCAGTCACTGGCCAGTGACAGTTGTGGGCAAAACAGACACAGCTGGGGTAAATTAGTTAAATTAACTGCCAGTCAGATCAAAGCAGGATAATGAGAAATGAAAACCAAGTTTTCAAAGACTTTTCCCCTGCTACTCCCTTTTTCCTGGGCTAGGCTTCACTCCTGAAGTCTCTCCCTCTAGCACAGCAGGACTGCAGTCAAGCTTGTTTGTGCCACTCCTTCCTCCTCAGGGAGAGGACTCCTTGCATTCTTCCCTTGCTCTGGTGTGGTGTCCCTCCATAGGAGACAATCCTTCATGAAGTTCTCCAGCATGAGTTCTTCCCATGGGCTGCAGTTTTTCATGAACCGCTCCAGCATGGGGCCATTCCATGGAGTGCAGTCCTCTGGAAATGCATTGCTCCAGTGTGGCTACTCCATGGGGTCCCAAGTCCTGCCAGCAAACCTCCTCTGTCCATGGGTTTGCATGTCCCTGCCAGAAGCCTGCTGCAGCATGGTATTTCTAGAGGATCACAGCCTTCTTCAGGCATATCTACCTACTCCAGAGTGGACTCCTCCATAGGCTGCAGGTGGATACTGTTGACTTCCATGAGCTGCAGGGGCTGCCTCACCAGAGGCTCCATCAGGAGCTGCAGGGGAGTCCTTTTTGGTGCCTGGAACACCTCTTACCCCTCTTTCCTCCCTGACCTTGGTGCCTGCAGGGCTGTTCTTCTCACATATTCTCACTCCTCTTTCCAGCAGCAATTACTGCTGCACAGGTGGGTTCCCCCCCTTTAATCTGTTATCCCACTGCTAAAGGGCTCAGCCTTGGCCAGTTGTAGGGATCTCCTGGAGCTGGCTGCCACTGGCTCTGTTGGACACCGGGGAAGCTTCCAGCATCTTCTCAGAGAAGCCACCCCTGTAGCCCCCCCCCACCAACATCTTGCTATGAAGACCCAACACAACAAGGCAGAGCAGAAATTATTTATGTGCTTAGAGCTGTGTTGTTGCCATTGTAGGCATGAAAAATCTCATCAAGAAATATGAACTGCCGAGGGCTGAAGAGGTTGCTGCTCTAAAACAGAAATTAGAGAAGTGTCACACCTTTGAGCTTGCACTTAGTACAAACCTGTAAGTAGATCTTTGATGTGTTAAAATTCAACTGATTTTACTGGTATAGGAACATTAATTTTTTATCTATATGAGTGATTGAAAATGAAAACCCCTAAATGTGCACACTGTGTTCACGTGCTTGCTATGTGAGAGTCTGCTGGAAGCTGAGAACCAAGACTCAACATGGTGCTTTCAGTAATACATAAATACATTCTTTTGTGCTGATTTGCGCTGCAAGCTGATTATTTTGTTAACACAAAACTGGAATCCTGGGTGGCTTCTAAGGTCTGGCCACTTGATGTTGTATGCAATGAGAACTTTAAAACCACGTAATTAAAACAAGAATCGGTGTAAACGGTTAATGTTTTCTTAAGAATTATGTGGAGGGCAAAGAACTTGCTGATTTTTCTCCTCTGCCCTTTTCACTTCAGTAGACACTGTGAACTTCCAGCATGCTGCTTGTTGAGGCTTTGGTAGTTTTTTATGTGACAAGTTTGCCCATAATCTAATATTGTGGTCAAATAAAGAGAGTCTAACTTATAAAAATACCCGAACATTTCACTTCTTGTCTGGCTTAGGAAGAAGAGGAAAGGTTATGAAGATGATGAATATGTTGCAAAGAAATCCAAAATGGATGAGGTCAGTAAACCTTTTGTACAGGTACTTGTTTTTCCACCCTTAAGTGCCAAGATGAAAGTGACACAGCTACTGAGATAAACTCATGCATCTGTATTACTCTTTTACTTGTTGCTCAAACCAAATACTTTTCAACTTATTTTTTTGTTTTCAAATGAGCCAGATTTCTTACTAGCCTGTGCTTGGAAGTGTTCTTGTACCTCTCAGTCTTTTGTGGGGAGGGGGAAGAAAATGCATCCTTCCTGCTGTTTCTTGGGATCTGAAAGTTTTTATTTACTTTATTTGGCTTCTTGCTCAAAGCAGAAGTCAGATTCTGGACTAAGTTTCTGCATCAGCCACTTTGCCAGCAAGGCTTGCATGAATTACAGATGGGTAGCTACTACTTCGGGTTATAAGACCTACTGTAAAAAGGGTGGAGATAAACTGATGAGGGTGACTCAACAAATGAAAACAGAAATAAGGTAGTCCTTTGCATCTGATATGAACATCTTCCAGAACTTTTGTTTGTAAAATGGACTGGAAATTGCAGAGAGTCCATTCTGGCAGGGGTGAAGAACTATGTTTACCTCTTGTTACTAAAGACACTAACATCGTGAGACTCAAAGGCACTCTTGAGTATGGCATTTAGAAAAAAGTGCTAATGGCTGAAGAGGGTTATCTGCCTGATAACCTGATAATCTGAGGATAAAATGCAAAATCTGTGTCTTTTATAATTCAGGGAGTCTTGCTATTATAGATTATCAAAGTACGTTGATGCTATAGTGTCAAACTAGAATCTAAAAAATTATTTGAACAAGATTATAATAAAAACAGCATCGAAGGTTGTGTTTTAAGAAAATGTGGAACCTTTAATGTATTTTATAACTATGCTGTAAAACCTTTGACTAGTGTTTACTCCAAATGCTAGTCTTAAAAAGCGTATTGAAACAGGCAACTCCATAAAACGGGCACTGGCAAAACTCCTCACTTTCTGACAAAGTGACATAGAGAACAGCTCTAAATGAGCTCTAGAGATTTCACTTGTTCCCTGCCCCAGTTTAATTTTAATTAGCTATGCTCTATGGTTTGAGGCATTTTTGATTTTTGGAGCTTGTTATTCATTCATATTCATAATTCTTTTTCCAAAGGAGTAACCTGATTGGATCACGTAGCCCTACAGCATTTTATGATAGGCTCTTGCGCAGTTCCAACAGTTTCTAAACTCAGGACTTTTCATTACTGATGTATCTGAACTGCCAAGGGTTTGTACTTGCATAGTTCCAGTTTTAAGTAATTGCCACACGCAAGAGCAGATCTGAGCTGGCCAGGACCTGACAGAGAAAGTGTACTTAACTTTTTGAAAGCATATAGTGTGTGCGAATTGCTCAGACATGGAGGCTTCATTAATCCTGTCCTGAGCCTGTAGTATACAGGTGCACAGTCAGTTCTAATCTACTTCTAGACATTGTTTCAAATTATTTGTTTACAGCTGAAGGTTAGTATCAGTAGCAAGGCCAGAACTCCTATGGAGAGCTCATCAGATTGAAAGATAGAGGAAATACACAAGGTAGTGGTTAAGCACAGGTGACTCAGCTTCCAAGGTGATGACGCCATAAAAAGCACAGGATACTAGTAAGAGGTTGCAGTATGAGGAAATCTCTACACAGCTGTAAGAAGCATGAGCTAAACCTCAGGCTGGTGCTGCAAGGGGCTGCTCCATGACTGTAAGAGGAGGTATGGATAACTAGCTTTAAGTCTATAGGGCTGACTTGCCACAACTTATATTTTTTTTTTTAGTCTTTACTCCGTTCATGGAATCCTTCTGTGAGTTCTTAAATCCTGACCGTAAAGAACACATAGGACATTACATGCACACCTTGCTCAAGTTGTTATGTTTTTCCCTTCCGTTAGGAAGAGTGGACTGATGATGATCTCGTGGATTCTGCATTACCTTAAAGGAAAATGGACTCGTATGCCTCCAGGAATGAGTCTGGAGTCAGGTCTGATCCTACCTGCCACAGGTTCCTTATCTTCTGTGTCATACAGCTCTTGTGCTTTTCATCTTGGCAATAAAGCCTATTATTTTACTAAAATAAAATTAGTTGTGGTTCCATTAAACCCTCATCCCTAACGGGTCAAATATTAACAAGAAATACTTGCTTTTAGAAATCTGTCCCTTGTTTCTGGTTTGGGAACAGTTTGCTGTGGATGAAGTGTAGGGTTAGAGCGTGACAGCCACTACTTTGCTTCTTTTTCATATACCCTGTTCGAATATAAACAGTTCTACAATACACACACTTAAATGCAGCTTTGGGGGTTGCCCAGTTTCATTCTCTGCTGCATTTTGTATGGAAGCGGTAGATCAGCCAGGCACCTCTGTACTCCAGCATTTTTTACTATGTCGTAGTGCCTACACCCAGCCACCTCAATCCACAAAATAATCCATTTTATATACTCTCTTAAGATCTAGGTGGGGCAGAATGATAGTTAATTACTTAGACTCCTCTCCGATGCAGTTTAATACAGACTTCACAGGGTTATGGGAAAAATAAAAAAAAAAAAAAGACTTCTATAGTACCGAGGTCTTATAAACAGGTGTGTTGTTACTATGAAGAGCATCACCTGTGCCTGCTGAGTGCAGTACTTGCGACACTTGGGAGCTCTCAGCTGCAGCACTGGACTCTCATTTCAAGGAAGCAGTTCCAGCTGGACACCAGGGCAGCACAGCAGAGCCACTATACTACTACAGCAAAAACATGAAAGTAAACTCTCTGTGATTTCATGTGACAAGGAACTGAAAAAGCAGTTCTGACAGACAGGAGAAGCAGCAGTGTTGGTGTTCTAATGGTGTATCAACAGCAATCACTTTAATAATTTTATCATACGAATATCTCAGTCTTGTAATTGAATCTCAGCATCCTTTTATTCCCTATTATTAGAGCACTGCCTACAAAACTAACACATGGTGACGTGGCAATACCCTCTGAACCAACAGCACATTTTACTTTTCATTTTTTTAAGTACTCTGTGGCAGTGCCATGGGCAAGGACACCTTCCACTAGGTCACGTTCCCCAAGCCCCATCCAACTTGGCCTTGAAAGTTCCAGGGATAGGGCAGCCCCAGCTTCTCTGGCACGGTGCCCATGCATCACTACACTCAGAGGGAAGAATTTCTTTTTATTAAATCTCAACCTACCCAGGATGTTTTAACATCTGCTTTCTCACCTTGTGATGTACAAATTAAGGTGCATGAACAAGGTAATCCTGTTTTGAGGATTTATGCTGAAAAAGTGACAGACACAACATGAACATTTTAAAGAAAAACGCATGTAGAGACACTAAAAAATTTCCACAGCAGCCAAAGTTAGCGAGTTTCCATACAGTTGATACGCAGCTTGATTTATTTTAAAAACTCATTTTTCACTTATAAAAATAATATTTATGCTAGACGTACAGTACACAAAAGACCAAACAATACCTATTTTATAAAATGGTTTAATGAATGCATGCATGTCTGATACAATGATCAATAAATTTACTGGATTCAAATTATTTACTGTTGTAAACATTTTACAAAAGCATTGTGATTTATCCGGATATACATTCTTGATGGAAGAACTATTCAGACTGAATCAGTGGCACATCAAAAAAATAAAGCTGATGAGACCCATTCTGCATATTCTCTTTCAACATAATTCCAGCAAGAGAAACAGTATGGTATAAAAAGTGTACAGTAAAGATTGTTCCTACCATAGCATCAAATTCTGAAAACTGTAAATACAAGTTAAAAGTGGTTGAAACAGTCAAAAGTCATAATTATTGTCACCAGTCAGAAATTACAGTAAGAAATGTTATCCAGTTATAGGTGGTTGTCAGAACAACACATTTCTTCTCATGTCAGTTGATAATTGTTTTCCAACCAGACAGCAAAAACTTTGGCAATCAGAGGTGCTGAAAATAAATTTCAAAGTCCAAGACAGTCACAGCATTTTCACTGCGGAGGGTGAACTCTACACCAAGGCTCAGAGGTTGTGAAAACTGTTTCCAAGTGGAAAAAAAAGTGCAAATGTCCTGCACAGATAGCTTAAAAAAGCTGCTGGTACAATTATTCACCAACAGGATCTTTGTTTTCTTTTTGCATAGTTCACACATCACTGGGAATGTGACAGGGTGTGCTATTTTTGGCAAGAGCAAGAAGAAAGTGATACTGGTCTGAGTTGCCGTATCAGGCATGCTGGATCCATGCAGAATGCAGGTAGAGGGCTGCTACCTGATGTTGTTAGACACTGAATACTGATTTTGTTTTTGTTGTAGCAGTTCAGTAATGGCCAAAAGCTTCTTAAGAACATGCTGCAGAGAGAGAGTCAGTAAAACCATACATTAGCTACTGGAAACAGAACTATACTACCTGAGCAGCATTTTCAGCATCAGCCCATCAGACCTGTGAGTAGGTAGTTTAAATATATTAAAAATAATGAAAAAAAGAAGTCTCTGATTCCTTAGTCAGTAAGAGAAGTCTACAAAAGCACTTTGAACTTTGCCTCTCCTCCCATGGATATTCTTGCTGCTTCGTGCTTTAACAGGGAGGCAGAGAAAAAGCACAGAGGTGTTTGCCAAGTTTACAGGTATACTGGCAAACTAGCAAGGATAAATGAGGTATTAAAAGAAAGCTAATTTAGTTCTCAACTGAAAGAAAGAAACAAGAACTGAAAAATTATGACCCAGAGAGCCTGTCAGGATATAGTAATTTTGTGTGTTTAAGGCTAGAAACTAAAACTTCCTCTGAAAACTAAAAAGAAAAAAATACCCCAATTTGGTTTTGTTGCATGAAGAAACAAAACTATGGACTAAGTATTTACCTTCACAGCTAATAACGTCCTGGTGAAACGCAAGTATTTTAAAATGTTTATCAGTTACATTGCTACAGAAATACTACAAAAGAATCCCAGTACTGCTGATTAACTCTGGACATGCCACCTGTACCTGTGATGTGCTCGATAACCCTGCCTAGTGTTACCTTACCTGCATCACACCTCGCTCATTGCTGAGTGTCCGAAGCTCGTCCGAGTGTGCCACACAGATCTCATGCAGGGCTGCCAGATCCCGGGACAGGTCAGTCCGAGAGTGCTCTGTAGTGTCCGGGAGCTCGGGAACATTCTTTAACAGAACAAAGACAGATTTAGGATGCCAAGACAAATTTTGGTCTTTCTGGGTAAATCTCAGTCCATCTTTCTGTTGTGTATTATAGAGCACTGGGCAATCACCAACCACATGACTTTCAACAAGGGGATGTGCTGGATTCTGCACCTGGCATGGGGCAGCCCTGGATGTATGTAAAGAATAGGGAATGAAATGCTTGAGAGCACTGCCATGGAAACGGACCTGAGGGTCCTGTTTGATGACAAGTTGAGTATGAGTCAGCCATGCCCTGGCAGCCAGGAGGGCCAACCGTGTCCTGGGGGGCATCAGGCACAGCATCGCCAGCCGGTCAAGGGAGGGGATTGTCCCGCTCTGCTCTGCACTGGGGCAGCCTCACCCTGAATATTGTGGCAGTTTTGGGCACTTCAATACAGGGAAGATACTAAGCCATTAGAGTGTCCAAAGGAGGGCGACAAAGATGGTGAAGGGCCTTGAGGGGAAGCTGAACAAGGAACGGCTGAGGTCACTTGGTGGGTTCATCCTAGAGAAGAGGAGACTGAGGGGAGTTACAACTCATTGCAGTTGCAACTTCCTCATGAGGAGAAGAGGAGGGGCGGGCACTGATTTCTTCTCTGTGGTGACCAGTGACAGGACCTGAGGAAATGGTCTGAAGTTGTATCAGGGGAGGTTCAGGTTGGATATTAGAAGAGGTTCTTCACCTAGAGGGTTGAACTACAATATACGGAATGCATGCAGTGACACTTTCGGCAATGTTAACCAAGATTCAACCTTGTAATTTTTAAACAAAAAATTAACTTCCATTTCTGGTCAAAACCATGCGACAAATTAGACATACAAATTTTTGGTTTAGAACATGTTTTTAAAGGTCTGTATTGCTGGCCAAAATTTCTAGTCTCATAGCTATAAAATCTATTTTGAGCTTCTCACATTTACAGAGGCACTAAATTAATAAAGTCTAACAAGATATTTAATGGTTTTAATTCCATATAACAGACGAGTAATCTGTAGTCTCTAAACATGCATAAAAAATGTATTCAGTTATAAGCATTCCAAATTGATGCATTTCTGAGCTAGTTAATAAGAACTGTAAAGAATTTTAATTTATAATGCTTCTATTTTTTTCACTACTTACCCCAAGTTCGTCCAAGAACATGATCATGCGATGTTTGTTGCTCTTGATGAATGGATTTACCCCTTCCATATATGGCTCCTGGTAATTTTAAAGAGCATTCATTAACAAATTATTGCCAAGATAATTGTCTCATCTGAAGTGAGCACGGTGCAGTCAAGGCAAATGACACTGCAAAACAGGTATGCAAACTCGAATAATGTTATCTTTTTTCAAGTGAATTTCTAATGTCTGATCTGCAACCAGTCAAAATAATACAGAATTCAGTATTTTCTTGTATCCACAAGATTGATAATCTCATGTTCAGAATTTCTTACACATTGATACTGATATTAATTTGCATTAAGATGAGTGTCTCTTGATACCTGGATGCAATGAACAGATGTTCTACTTTCAGGGGCATGATCAGGAATAAGTGTCCACTTTCCTGTTTTTTTTTTTCATTCACTCTTGCATTCCAAGTTCTGTGTGTCAGAGAAACAACTATATTGCCAGCCTGAAGTCACGTTAATTATGCATACATCAACAAATTTATTTTTAGCAATGTTTCAGCCTGGGAACTGAAATAGACCAGTGTGGTGGTTTTAATCTAGGCCTTCCCTGGTTACCAGTTTGTAACCAAGGAAGGGGCAGTGTTCCCAGTATTCCATACAATTTTTATGTAAATCGTGGTATAAATAAGAGGGGAGAAGCGGCCTGCCCTCCTCTTCTCTTCTGCTGGAGTTCGGGAACAGTGGGTCCCTGCATTGGTCTCACTTATCTAAGGCTGAGGCCTGCAGCATCCACTGACCTGCCATGTGGAGGCTTGGAGAGTGCTGGCAGTGTCTGCCAATCCTGCTTTCTAAGGGATGTGGCAAGATTTGCTTTACTAGTTATTTTACTAGTTCTCGGGTTTGATTGCGCATATCTATTCGGTGTCCCTTTTTATTTCCTTTTGTCCCTTTTTCCCCTTTCCCTGTCCCTTCGGGGGGTGTTTGGATTCCCGTTTGCTGTGTACATAGCATCTTAACTGTAATATACATAAAATATATTTTTTTATATAACTAGCTTGATTTTCGGGTTCTTCAATTGGCATAGTTTTTTTTTTTTCCTTTGCCCTGGGGGAAGTAGAAAGAGGGGAAGAGAGGGGCTGCTACTGGGGGGTTGAGCATTTGGCAGGGAGCCAAGTCCAAACCATCACAACCAGTTACTGCTGGCATTCTCTTAGTCTTATAATTGAAACTTTATTGACAGTTTGGGCTTTTTAGTGCAATATATACACTTGATTTAAAGCATTAATTATGTCTAGCAGTGTGACAGGGAGTACACACAGAGTTCTGAAGTGTTCTTCCACAAAAAACACCAATCTAAGGAGTGATAAATCCAAGGTCAGAGTGGGGTAGGAGAAAAAGTCAGAAGTTCTGCATAAGGAAATAGCAACAGATTTTTGCATGCATTACACAGGTACATGTAAAAAACGTACAGAAAACTCAGTTCGATGTTGTCTTCTGTGTGTAAAATTATACTCACCTTAGCTCCAAATTCAACCAGATTTGCTAAATTCTGCACAGACTTGGCGACCAGCGTCAGTGTTCTTGCAGCAGTGGGGGAAGGAGAATCTGCCAGGAATGC